GTCACTTTTTCCGCATCTAATGGAAATGAAAAGGTTACCCTGTCACAGAAAGGATCCTTAGTCCTTTTATATCAAGTGCCATTCAAAGATTTTGACTGTGCCCCAGTTTCAGTTGTTCCACAAAACTTCAGCACGTGCTGCAGAGAAGAAAGGAGAAGACCAAAATTGGCTAAATGTTTTCTTTGATGAACTTCATGCTTTGATACAAGAAGAAGTACGCTCAGATTACCAGAGAAGACATGCTCTTTATTCCAGGGGTGAATGAGCAGGGAGGGGCGTTGGCTGCCTTCTTCAGGAATGGTTGTTCATTTGCCACGTGCAGCTGCTGGATCCCCGAGGCCTCCTCTGAGCACGGGCAGAAAAGATGTCTTGGGAAGATAAAAATCCCAAAGGTTTTTATCACCACATGGCAAAAAGAAGGCGGTGATGCTGAAAGTAGAGCTGCAGGTGGCATTGCCAGTGGGCTTTGGTGCCCAGCCTGCCCGGAGCGAGGGCTGTGCCCACGGGAGCTGTGCTGGAGTCACCTCAAAACTGCATTAACAGCAAGAGGGTGAGGGAGGGGACTGTGCCCAGCACACAGAAGAACGTTTATCAGATGTTTCTCAAGGAGCAGAGTAAGCAAAACCCCAGTTCCTGAAGTTCAGTCCTGGTTTGTCCGTGTGTGAAACTCTTCTTCTGTGCCAGGCTTTGCAGTCATGCACCAGCATCACCCAGTCAGTCCCAGCAGCATTCCCAGCTGGCATTAGAAATGCACAGGAGTGTTCCTAGCAGAAATCATCTGCAATGATGGAAACATCAATCTGCCTCAGCTTATCCATGCAGATCACTTGGTTGGTACTGACCCTTGTGAAACCATCTGTGCTGGGCGTTAGTTAAGTTTCAAAAAACACCCAAAAAAACCCAAAAAAAGGGGATTTTGGGGCTATTCTGTAAATTTCTTTCGCTAGAAAATGACTGTAATTGTAGTAATTTCCTTCTAATGATGTGTGTTACATCTCATTAGCAAAGCCATTTGCAGGGGCTCTGTTCCAGTGGCACGGTCCTTGTATGGAGCCACCCAAACGTGGGCTGTGCTGCTCCTGCAGAGCTCCTGTGGCTTTGCAGCTTCAGCCAGGTCTGGAGGTGAATCACCAGGCCTGCTCCCAGCTAAATGCAACTGCCCCCAAAGGAATGCTGTGTGATTGGAATCAAAGTGGGTGGATAATTTTGTGCCGGCTGCTCCGTGCCTGAGGAGCTGCAGATGACTCTGGGAGCGGGCTGGGTGCTGCAGGGGACACAGCCCTTCTTTGGCCAGTGGAAGTGTTCATCACAGATCACATCTGTGGGCCTGGAGGTCATTTTTCCTGACAGCCCAGGACTGAAAACTCAAGCCCATATCCAGCTTGGTTTAAATGAACAAAGCCGCTCCCACGGCCTCCAAGGGGGCTGGATGAGGGGTTGGAGGGAGAAGCCAGGCCCTGTTCTCACTGGCTCATTGTCTGTGCACACACACACTCAAAAGAAAGAATAAAAAAATAGAGTTAGCATTTTTATTCACAGGCCACAATAAAATCCAATTTACTTCCTCACAGCTCTTGGGCACTTGCACACCAAGAGGAGCTTAAAGCATTTTAGAACTCACAGAGTAATAGAAGGAAGTAATGAAATATATTTGTAATATAGCTAGAAAATAGATTCATAATATAGCTAGAAAATATATGAGCAGCCTCAGCCTCATGTAATTGAGAACACATTTAGGAAACTTAGGCTCACAACAGTGACCTTATTTTGTAGCTCCTTTGAGCTCTTTGTATCACTGAGTGGATTTCCAGAAACTCAGCCATCGGATTGCCTTTGCTTTGGACGATTTATGCTCTCAGTTTGATTTTTCCCTGGGCTGTGTTAGTAGGTGAGAACAGCCTGATTGTGCGAGTTAGGAGGTGTAAAAGCCACCTCTGGACTCAGACTTTCATGATGGCAAATGGAGATATAATAACATCCCAGCTGGGGCTTTCTGAGGTTCTCTGTTACATCCTTCTCTCCAGTTAGTTTTAACTTTGATAACTCTAGGGCTGGTAATTTGCTTTACCTGTGACTGAATTATTTTGAAAAGCTAGAGTAAAATGAGGATTGCTCTCAGGAAGAAATGAGGCAGGATAGCTGTGGTCTGATTATCTCTTTTCTCAGGCAATCAGTGCCATTGGAGGTGATTACTGGTTAGTGGCACGTGTCCTTGCTGCCAGCTGGGTGTTGACCTCAAGCACTGGGTGTAAAGGGGCAGGGGGAGTCAGTGAAAGTGTGATGCCTGGCTTTTAGTATGGGCATCCAGATGAAAAAGTCACAAATATTTCTGTAGATATAGATCTTAAAGATGGAAACTCTGCTGAGTGAGATGTGGTGTGGAATCTCAATCTTTCCATTATCCTTCCTATCCAAAGGTGGTGTGCTGGGACAGTGTCTGCCTGTGCATTTGGAGAATTTGTATCTCTTGAGCCTGGGAGCTTTCAGCATAGAGATGGTTTCTGGAAGTCTTATCCATTCCCTACTGAGAGGAGATGCTTGTGCTGTGAGAAAAAGCTGGGACTGTCCTGATAAGGCTGCTCTGGAGCACAGTGTCCCATCAGCTCTTATCGCAGCACCTGCTGGCCAGCACACCTGGCGTGGGTGATGGTGGGGTCAGTCTGCTTTGCCCAGGATCTTTCACCAGTTTAATTTGATCTGACAAATACCAGCCCAGTCTTCTTCCTCTCATCACCCGAGTTCCCTGGAGGCATCCTTGCCTGCTGGACTCCAGCAAGGTGTGGCTCTCAGGCTGCTCCACAGGTACAGATGTGCAGCCCAAGGATTATTCCCTGTTGGGGAGGCTTTTGCTTTGTGTGTTTGCAGACAAGTATTCCAGTTTGGATTAAACAGCCATCAGCTTTAAGCTGACTGGTACTTTGTGGTGGTGGTTGTTGGGGGATGAGAGTCTTGAGCAATGCTTGCATTTAAAATTAGTACTTTTATTCAAATTCCAGGCAGGAGTCAAGGAGTTCTGTGGGGTTTCCAAACAATAAAAATGAAATAAAAGTCACTGTCACTTCCACCTTCCTCTAGAGCCTTTGATGATCCTGTATTACTTTGGCCAACAAAAATTCAGTGCATGTTGGTTTCCAGCAATCCAGCCTGTCATGGCAGTTGGGAGCTGCCACCCTGTTCTCTTCTGGGGCTGTGAGACAGGAGTCACAGCAGTGTTTTGGCACACTTTGAACACTGACATTTCAGGGGCTGCAACAAAAGTGTGTCCTGGAGCACGTTACTCCATAAAACCAAAAACCCAAAGTAAAAAGAGAGAAGTTTTAAGATATCAACTGGATAAAGGTAAAAGGTTTTTTTCCTTGAACTTAGAAACACCTTTGTGTCTTTCAGAGTTGGGCAAACTGTAAATTTGGATCAAAGTATTCTCCTGAAAAAAAATCCACTTCACTGTACAGTTTCTCTTTCCCAGTAAGTTGATTTATGTGACTTTCCTGGGAATTTATTTCTGCCTGGCCTCTGTGTGGCAGGGCAGTTTTGAGGTGAACAAGCACTGATTTCAGGTTTACAGGTAAAGTGTTCCATATATAAACAACTCTTTAGCCCTCATGGGATAGAAATGCTGTTACCCTTTGGATGTTGGTGCATGAAGATGCATTCACTGCCAGTCAGGATCAGAAGAAAGCAGACATGGTTGGATGTGGTGTGGATGGAGCTCTTGCTCTGGACAGTCTCTTTATCTCCTCAGCCAGTGAATGTCACCCCTGGGGTGGTGTCCCAGGGCACTGGGGGATGCTCCAAGCAGCAGATGCTTCAGTGTTCTGTGGTCACAGACAGAGCTCTGGGCCCAGCTGCTGAGCTGGGCACTGTGTTCTGCTCCCTGCCTGCTGCAGGGAGGGCACTCTGTGGGCAAGGGATGCACAAAACCAACCCAGGCAGCTGGACCCAGTCTGGGACCATTGTGGTGCTCGGGAAATGGTGCCCTCTGCACCCAGCGTTGCTGCAGACTTTGTTCTCCTGCTGTGTTCCTTACATAATTGCCAATTAAATAGGCATCTCAGGCTCAGTTTATCACCGGTCTAAATCTGTCTGTGCCAGGCAGGGGAGCTGGGTTAGCATCTGGCAGGGCAGGTATGTTTTAGGAGCAGCAGACTTACGTACTTTGGGCAACAAATATTGATGTGTGTGTGGTGAGTTGGCTAATTTTGTCCTCTAGCATCATTTTCTGAAAAAGAAACAACAGGGTTTACAATTGATTTGATTAAATAATGAATGATACATTCTGCTACTCCAAAGTAGGCAGCATTTCCAGTCTATGGCTCTTCTGTGGATATGAATGGAAAGACTTTAAATAATATGTGGCTTGGGGTAGTTATTCCCTCCCAGGCACTGCTGCACACCAGAGCACAGTGCCAGCAGATTGAACAAGAAATTAGAGGTAAATTAAGGTTTCCTTAAAGTTTCTTTTTTCTCTCTCCTGTTGCTTTAGTGCTGAACTTCAAAGGTTTTCTCAGGGCTTTCTCAAATCCAGCTGTGTGCCTGTCCATAGAGCACAGGTGTATCAGATTTATCAGTTTTTTCAGTTTTATCCGATTTTATCAGTTTTATCAGATTTATCCAGATTTATCAGTTAAGCCTTTGTGAGCTTATCTGCCAAAGTTGCAAAGAAGTCCTTCCATAATTTCTTAACCATAAGGCAGTGTCAGGGTGCAGCTTGCCAGGTTTTCCTCTTTAGTTTTGAGTCATGCTCTGGGTTAATAGCCCAGTTAGTTGCCAGTGGCCAGTGCATCCATGCCCAGGAGCATCTTTATGTAGCCCTGGGTCTGCCAGAGCTGTGGGGTCCCACCCTGAGGCCAGTGAGCTCTGCATTGGTTGTGAGCCAGTTCTGCAGGGGCACTTGGAGATAATTTTGGTCTGAATCTTTAAATCTGAACATAACTCTTGATTTTTCAGTCTTGCCCCTCACTTTTCTGGTTCCCTAATGTCAGCTCTGTTGCTGTTTGCAGATGATGGGAAGCTGTCACTGGAGGAGTTCCAGGCCTTTTTTTCTGATGGGACACTCAACGAAGAAGAACTCGAGAAGCTCTTTCATACCATTGACTCAGACAACACAAAGTGAGTTCCTCATCTTGACTCTCCCATGTCACAGTGCCTTTGGACCGTGGTGTTGGGGTTCAGCAGCAGCTTCTCCAGAGAGCTGAGCTCTGCACAGGCTGCAGGGGTGCAGCTTGCTTAGCAAAACTTTGCAAAGCCTCCATTTCTGCTCGGTTTGTGTCTCCCCGTGACAACTGCTGGGACTTCTTTGTCTTTGTGATTTGTTTCTTAGGCCATCTTCTTTTTAGTGTACAAACCAAAGTTTGCTATTGAGATTACATTACAGCTAGAGTAGAAAATGATGAAAATTATGTTCCTGCTGATTATTAGTAATTGCTGTTACAGCCAATTACAAAATGTTGATTCAATTTCCTGGAGTATTTTTAGAAGCACTGAACTGCCTTACTGGAGTAGATAAAATGAATGTCTGTACCAGTTTCGTGGCTTGGATTAGCTGGGGAGACAAAGAGAAGAGCTGGGCAGTGGAGTGGGAAGCTGAGGTGGGTTAGGGGTGGAGGAGCAGCTGTGCTGCTGTGGAGCTGGGGCTGCAGGAGTGTGGGAGGAGCCCTGGGCAGCACAGAGCCCAGTGAAACAACTGCTGGGCAGCAAGGTGCACTTGGGAGGATGCTGAACTGAAAAAAATTCCAGAATAACCCAGGGGCATCAAGGAGTTTCTTCCTTTGTCCTTCAGTGCCTAGGAATGTCCCAGGAAGCTGATGCTGTGGTGGGCATGAGCTCCAAACATCCATGCTGGGTTTTTTACCAGGTATCTCCATGCAGGAACTGTGCTGTAAGTCCCATCATTACCAGTTATTTCCTCTGGTAATGCAGGAGGAGCATGCTAAATGTGTCATGGATTTCTCTTGGGTGTTTTGGCAGAATTATATTCATAAACCTGCTGTTCCTTACACACAATGACCAAGCAGCATTTTTCTCTCCATTGCTCACACTGTCTGCCCTCCTTCCCTCCTCCCAGCTGAAGCAGGAGGCAAACCCAAGATGTTGCTGGGTGATTTTCACCCTTGGTTTTAGCTGTTATTTCAGGAGGTTTCAACAGTGCTTCATGGGGAGCTGCCTGAAGATTACTGGGGAGGTAATGATATGTTGCTATTAATACCAACACTACTGGAACTGCACAAATAATGGGCAATATCTGCACGTATGGACACACATAATTAAATGTATACATTTGGTTTAGTGGGGCTTTAAAACATTAGATTAATGTTCACCTGGGAGATCCTGTTATATTTGCAGAGTTATCTACAACTCTTCTTATTTTTTCTAACAAGATGTATCAATTTTAAAAGGAAAAAGTCATTGCAAATGCAAGGTCAAACAAGTTTTAAGTGCTTACAGCAGTGTGCATCCCCTTGGCAGGAAGAAGCCCCTCTCAGCCCCTGTGAGGGCAGGGGAGGTCGGACGTGATGGTTGACTGAACAAGTGTAGTCCTTGCAGGGGATTTCAAACATTCCTTTTCTGTCTCGTACATTTTTCATGGCTGCAGAGCTCAGTCCTTTGGGGAGGGATCTGCTCACTGGAGCAGGGCTGCTGCAATGAGCTGCACAGGTCCATTCCCAGGAGCCAAGGCCGAGGCATCAGCATTCTGCTGCTCTGTGGGTGTTATCTCTGTTCCTTTCATGGCTTTATTCTCCTCTTCTCCCCTCTCTGAATGAGCCTCCTCTCCAGTGGCAAGCACAGCAAAGGCTGGAGGCACATCTAGGATAATTAACAGGAGTGGAATCTCTTCTCAGAAGCCTTCACAGTTTGTCCAGACTGTCCCTTTTGCCAGAGGATTGTGACAAATGGAGATCTGAAGCCCCTCAGGTTCTCCAGTCTGTTCTGCACTTGGCAGTGCCACCTCCCATCCTTTAAGTCACTGACTGGGGTGGGGTGTTGGTCCAGAGGGCTGATGACAGGGGATGGAGGGAAAAATCGATCACCTGCTTTTGGGGTGCTGAACAACATCCCTTTGGGAGCATGAATCCACCTTCCTCCTCTGCACCCTCAGCTGCTCAGATACCACAGGACCTGTGTTATAACTCACTAATCTGGGATCCCTTCAGGGGGCAGAGATGTGGTGGGATACGCTCAGGGCACTGCCAACCTGTTCAGCTGCAGAGCTGGGGGGACAGGGCTGTGCAGGGCCACCCCAGGGGCAGTGATGATGCTGATGAGCTTCTCTGCTTGCACTAATGAGTCCCACTGTGAAGCAGGGCGTGTGAGCCCAGAGCTGCTGCCAGCAGGACACTTCAGCTCCAGCATTCTGAGACCTGCAAAGCCAGTGAGGGCAGGGTGGGACCTTTGTGCTGGCCCTGCCTTTACCAACATCATCCGGGCACTTGCGGGGCCAGAAGCTCTCAAAATGGGTCTGATGGCTTCCATCTATGAATTTTGATTCTCTGTGACTTTAAATGCATTGATACCCAGAGAATAAATCTGATTTACACAAACACTCTGTGCCCATGGCTGTGAAGCCTGATGCTCTACAGTGGTGAGCAGCAGCCAAAGAGTGGGAGATGCTGGCAAAGAGCTGCTGGTGTAGTTGGGGTCCAGACTGATGCTGTTCCCTGTGAGAGGAGCCAAAATGCCTTGGCAGCAGCCTTGCAGCTCTCTGCTTTGGTGGTACTCTGAGCTCTGACAACTCATGGGTTGGTGTTGCATAAAAGCAAAGTGACATTTTGATGGGGTCAGAGCCAAAGGCAAAGGAGCTCGAAATCTGTTCCTGAATATTAAACAAGAGCTGAGTGCAAGCCAAAGCTACACCTCATGCTTCCACTGGTAACCTGGGCAGAGAGGGAGCTTCACATCATCACGGCTGAAGATGAGGTTCTGGACACCCTCCTTCCAGCACACAATCCTGCTCCAGACCTGAACACCCTCAGTGCCTTTGGTGATGCAATTCTATTTTCCTCTGGTGGGAAAGGTCTGCTGTTACTGCTTTGTTTGGATGCCACAGCCACTCCAGGCATGTCCTCTGAAATGCTTTGCCTTCCCACAACCCACAGCAGGTCTGGTGTCCTTTGGTGTGAGAAGCTTCCCTCTGATGGAAGAATGCTCTGCTGCCCATCCTTTTCTCCAGGTTTCTGCAGCCCAGTCCTCACCAAACTGAACAGAAAGTGCTTTCACTTCTTGGGCAAGGAACAGTGATGATGATGATGATTGAGTATTTTTTTCCATTTTTTCCCTCCCCATCCCTCATCTTGGCTCTTTGATTCAGTGGAGTGCCAGATTTGTCTGGGAGCCAAATCCTGCACTGTGGAGATGGCTGTGCCCATTGAAACCAACTTCATTTCTGAATATCAAATCTTCTTAATTAGCTCTCTGGGAAACAAACTACGGGTTGTTTAATCAGCTGAGATTTTGATTAACTGATTCAAGAGACAGTTCTTGTCTCTTCTGAAAGGGACAAAGTGATTGCACAAAAATTACATGTCTGGCTGTAATTTCTGGCTCTCGGGAGCACGGGCATGTGGTGGATTATGTTTGTATGGAAGATGTTTTTTAGTCCTAGCTTATTCTTCTCTGTGCCAACACGTCACTTAAACCATACTGTGCTCTACTTTTCATTTAAGTAAAGGAATATTTGGTTCCAGTGCTGGTGCTGTGCTGATAGAGCTACAGAACATCTCAGCCTCACCAAAGAAAAGGGGCTTAAAATACAAATTACTCACTGGGAAGGTCACAGGGAGAAACACAAAGCTGAAAAACCGCACAGAATCTTGTTTGAACTAACATTTGAGAACATTTTTCTATTTCTAATCCTATTTCCCAGGTGTTTTCCCAGGCAGGCTCTCTGCAGGGTCCCTGGGGAGAGCTGTTTAATCTGCCAGCAACACAGGCTGGCACTGGGAGCAGCAGGCTGGTGTTCACTGCACAGAGCGAGGAGCAGGGAGGGTTTATCTCTGCAAGTGGAGGGAAGAAGCCTCACATCAGAGTTTTCTGCCTGGGACTGCGGCTCAGCACCTTTTTTTGATACTGCAGGGCCATTCTGTATTGGAAGTTTTCCAGGCAATGGAAAGATACCAAAATTTTGCATTAAAACCATAAAAGTGACTAAGATACTTAATTCTAATCAACCACTTGTGTTTGAGTCATGTAGGCATTCAAAGAGGCTGGAGACTTTGCTTTCAAATCCAGTCTTAGAAATGTATCCAGGTGCTTTTCTCTGAGTAAACGTGCATAGGGTGCCAGCATCAAACAGCAGAGGTGTCGAGCTGCTGCTTGGTAGGCAGAGCAAGCTGTCTGCCTTGGGACTGCATTTGGGAGGAGATTTTTTATATCATTTTTCAATGGCAGGAGAAGAGAACTCAGGAGAAACAAAGATACTGAGGAAAATACAGCAACAGAGTCCAGGGATTTCTTGCTTCACTTTTCTTTTACTAATTCCCTGCCAGCTGTGTTACACATCCAGACCTACACATTTGTTGCTCTAATTTCTTCCTCTCCTACATCTAACCTTGGTGTTGAACAAGATACCTGCAAAATCTAACAGAAGGAGAAGGCTGATTGAATTTTACTTCGTGCTCTCAATATCTTGCCATTTGCTTCTGGCAATTAGCAAAGCATTCAGCTGAGCTCCAAGCAATTGCTCCAGCCCTGCCTCCTTTGCAGTTCAATATTACAGAGATCACAAACAGAAATCAGATTAGCGCAGGCTTCCATCTCGAGTAGAAATAGGCAGTGGCCAGCCCAGACTTCCAAGGCCTTACAGTCCCAGTTTTGCCTGGCATTGTCCAGGGATAAATCCAACAAGAGTGATATAATCTCATGTATGCACACACTGGGCCCAAGTGTGAATACAGTAATCATCAACTTCATGAATTTGGAAGTGCCAAACCACCTAGCAGTTAAGCCACTTGTGGGCTGTAATTAAACCTGCCTTCTATTTTCTTTGGTGCACTTGTGGGCAGAATGACATTTCCAAGAACAAGTCATCCATCAAAAAAAAAAAAAAAAAAAAGGAGGGTTTAGATGCAATTTATGAGGAATTTGGCACATGCAGAGATGTGAAAATGTTTCAT